CTCTCATTAGTTAAATAATCAGAGAGCTTAAATAGGTAATCTCCTAGTTAGGTTGCAGGTATGGCAGCTAGTGTAGAGCCCAGGTGGACTACCTAAATTAGGTACCAAAAGTACACATGTGGCTAGTTGTATCTTCGTGAAATTGATGTAATATCGTAATTACCTAAATAAAGCAAAGTGCCGAGGAACCTAAGTAGTCACCTTAATATTAATAAAAAAAAATAAATAATTAATGTCTTGATTCGAATGTAATAAATACAACCATAAGAATATTGCTATTCTGTTCTTATTTAAATTTAAAATTCTTTTTAGTAAAGAAGACCCAAACAGAATAGTTTCGAGTAGATATTTTTTATGTGACAAATAATGAAGTTATAACAAAAATTTAAACTAGCAAAATTATTAAAAAAGAAGCCAGTGCAACTGAAGTTAAAGCTTTGGCAATTGGTCAAAAAGAATTTTTTTTATTGGTTTTTTTTAGATAACAAGTGAAGCTTATGAAAAATAAAAAGAGTATGCTCGAGCATTTAATTTTATAAATATTATCATTAATTATAATGCTTGAGCATTATTATGATCAATTGATCTTGAAAAAATCCTACGTAAATGCTTTCAATCTATAAAAGGATGGCTTCTGATTTGACAATCCTGATTTAATTTATTAAAAATTAAAATCATGCTATTTTCTTTACCCTTTTAATAACAGTTATACTTATCATACTCTTATTTCTTGTATTGACCCAGCTAGTTTTAAATAGTTTACTTATTGAAAAAGGGCTTAGATCTTTCTTTCTTATATAGCTGTGGCTTCGTACATCAGTCTGGTTGGCTTTTAATAAATACTAACTAAAGTTGATTAAATATTAAAAAAATTCTTTTAAGTTAATTAGTTTTCTATCTTTGGTATAATAATTTAATATTAATTATTACACATTTGCCCTTTGTTCTCATGGTTCTACCAAATTTGGCAATAGCTAAGTAATTAATAATAACCATAACAGAGAAATAATTAATTGTAAATAAAATACTATAATAAGTTACATATCTTAATTAGATGAATAAAATTCTTTGAAACACATCAAATTGATCATTGATGCTTTTTTAGATTAGATCAAAGAATTTAAAAATCTATTACCACATTTGTGTTATTGATTTATTGTATAGCATATAAGAAATAAATCCTGTAATCGTGACAAAAAATCTTTTTTAAAAAAATAAATGTAATTCAAATAAATAATTAAATCATATATAAATGACTATTCTTTGACATGAATAAATTTTAAATTCAATTGCAATTCAAAATAATTTGTTATACTTCCATAAATTAATTCAATTTAAAATACATTCGATCTTCTTTTGCCAAATCTCATTTGTTAACATTGCTCTCGCAATAAATTGTATCAATAGATCCTGAATATACTTCTGATATTGGAAGTATTTCAAATATAGAAACTTCTTAGAATATAGAATATACTTCAGATATAGAGCTGAACTTTGATTCTGAATATACTACTAGTGCCAATTTTCAAAGTAATATCGATACTGCTAGAGAACAATCTATAGAAAAATCTATAGATGAACCAAGTACCAAAAAGATT